AGAGAGGACTGCGGCGAAATGGAGACCTCCATCACGGCTATGCTGCCGGAAATTTTCGATTTCTTCATGTATTTCCCCATATCTCAGGCCTTTTCGGCCTCTCTACGTTTTCTTCGAAGTTGGAATTTGGAGAGAGAGAGGTGATGACAACTGACGGAGGCGATATCTGTCAGAGAGAAAGGAGAGCGAGAGAGAGATATTTGGATCTTTTCTGTTTCTGGGTTTTTGTGATTTTGCAGATTCACGGTGGAGGTGAAAATTTGAGAAAGAACTGACACAACTTTTTGTATCGTTTCCCACAGACGGCGCCAAATGTCGATGCATAAAACCGGAGGAGTCTTGGAACAACGTAAATCCGACCATGAGTCTACAAGAAATGTAAAGAACACAAGATGTATCGTGGTTCACCCCAATGTTTGGGCTACGTCCACACTGATATTGTATTTCTCTGAAAGGATTGTGAGGGAGAGAGAGGGTGAGAGCTTTTGAGGGTGAAAGAGCTCTTCCCATGGCCTAAGAATTGGCCTCCCTTAATGAGGAGAGTGAGGGGTCCTTTTATAGAATAAGGGCTCCTCACTTATTACATATTTGCCCCTTCATTTATTACATAATTACATTTGAGTCCCTCGAGTATTTATACGAGGTCTAAATACGGAGATCCTAAGTATAGTACAAACATACATCATCTTGGTTCCGTAAATTTAAAAGTGAAACATAGAGGTATACTTTATGAAACGAATATAACTCTTCGAAGCAGACAGTGGCGTAGTCACAATGATTAGAATGTTGGATATATGTCAACAATCTGTGATAATTTATATATGATAATAAATAATAAATGCAATAGGAATTAACAGAATATAAACTAGAATACAAATTATAAAAACAGACAACTTGAAGATCGAGGCTTGCGTACCGCAATGTCCTTGAAACAGAAATTTTGTCCCTACTATGTGCTTGTAGTTCTACAGACGTCTGCTTCACCAGGATTCAACGATCAAGTTAAAATTCCAGCACCGGAAAAATTTAACTTCTGGCGAATTTAGTATGGTTCTCTCAGTAAGAAGATTTAGGAATGTAGAGGATGAAGTTGATTGTTTTCTGTATTCTAAATGTCATGCAGATAGATGTATATAGCAGATGGATGCCTGTTTGCAACAGGTATGAGAATGGGGTGTGACTGTTGGGAGACATCTCTTCAGAGGGGTGCTTTGCTCTGTGTTCAGAAAGAACTCTCAGACTTCATCTGAAAGGATGAGTCTTTTCATAAAAAATAAATAAATAATTAAATTCGAATTTAATTAAATCCGAAAAATAATTAATTAAATAATTTAATTATTAGAGCTTGGTTTAGGGTTTAGGGTTTAGGTTTAGGCCCAATGCCCATCTTTTGATAATTAATTATATACTATTTATAATTAATTATATATTAATTACCAATTAATTAATACACCCCAAAACCCAACCTCAAGGGTGAGCCCAATTTTAGTCTCTAGGCCTGTTACTCTAATAACTTTTTATAAAGGACAAAACCTAATAAAGTGATAAAAACTTTTGGAATGGCCAATGTGGGATAAATAAATTTCTACTCAAACTACTCAAATTTCCAACATAGAACATATGTACTATTTTTTACTCACACGAGTTTAATCCTCCTCTTTGCACTCTATAGTAATTTAAAGTAAAATACCGTTTGTATCAAAATTTCGATTAATTTTCCTCTTCCTCTAGCTAGCTAGTTTGCATCGCCACCATTCATCAAGGCTTTAAGGTAAATCTTATCCAGATTTTGCAAGCATACAATTAAGGGAACTTTAACGAAAAGCACCCGGTACTGTTCACTTTAACGAAAAACCACATTTTTACACTAAAAAGTCAATCCTGGTACTATTCACTTTACCCTTTATTTTGTCCTTATCATTAAAACTCAAAGTTTTCAAGTTATTTTCATTAGTTTTCCTTACAATTAAAGGACTAATAAAGAATGTATGACCAATGGAAAATCGTACTATTCATAGAGATATAATATCAATATCATGTAATTTCATGATAGTTGGTCGCTCAAATGGTCCAAACAATTTGAGCTCAGGAGGGTACGGAGGTCCAAGACATAGCCTTCAAGTTCGGTTTTACCATTTAAATTGCAACACCTGTTCCAACTTGGCATGCAACGTGTCGTTTTCTGGATGGGTACCTGATTCTGACATGGATAATGAATGTGCCAAATTAGCCTGCGCTGCTCACTTGCAGCCAAGTGACATGTCGCCGTCGGACCAAATCATCAAATAATGCCCGCATATTCTTCTGCATTATTTTTCTCATATTCTTTCATCATCCTGGTTTCTATCGATTGACAGACCTTGATCAGGTCACATATGCAAACAGTTACATCAATTTTGGCTTATGCCTCAGCATTATTTGACATATATAGCTGATTTTATCAGTTGTAAAGTTTTTATTTTTTTTAGAAAAATCAGTTTGGAAACTCAGCTGCATTTCTGCATACTTTCTTCCATATTCAAGAACATACATATATTTATATATATCAAATCACTTTCAATTCTAATATTTGCATACCTCTCAAGAGTTGAATATCAGAGTGCGTAACGAACAAGATTACAAAATAATAAGAATATTATTAAACAAACAAGAATGTCAAAACGGCTACAAAACCCTAAGAGGCTACATTGTTACTAGCTTATTATTCATGCTAAACTACAAGCTATATTGAGCAAAACCTAAGAAACCCTAACTCGGATGGGGTATGCCCAATTCCTAAACTAACTCCAAATACTAAAATAAACCTAAATATTAATATTTTCCAACACCCCCCATCAAACTCATGGTGGTATACGACATGGGTTTGCAAACAAGCAGATGTGGACTGGCTCTGTTAGGCGGACTGACAGTCATGCAAACTTGACTTGACTTGATTCTTGATTCTTGACTTAACTTGATTCTTGATTGCAAACTGGCAAACTGATTCTTGATTCTTGCTGACAAACTGATTCTGGTTCCAACTAGCTAGAGTTGAGAGTATAGAAAGAACCCGTCACTAAACGAACGAGATTTCCATATCTCAATTGTACGAACAAATGAACAACACCAACAACTTGTGTGGGCCTTCAAACAAAAAGCCAACGTTTTTTCTTTTCTAATTTTTTCTCTTTTTTTTTCTCCCCTGGAACTTTTTCGAATGCTTTCCTTCAACAAACCTAATTTTTTTTTCTTGCATTGAACCAATCTTCCCCTAGAACAATAGCAACAATACATGGGCCCCAAAACCTCAAAACAACCATTTTTTTTTCTTTGCCCGTGTGGACCTCAAACGAATAGCCAAAATTTTTTTTCCTTTTTTTTCTTTGCCTTCTTCCTTCTCTGCGTCCTTCTTCCACGCATACAAACTTATTTGCGATGAAGCTGCAAACGGTCAGATTTGTGCAGGGATTCAGATGGTGGTTGTGCAAGGCAAAGACGAAGTCGATCCAAGCGATTCTTAGGTCTGGGCTTCGTAAAAAATCGTAAGGGTGGTCGATCTGGTGCAGAACGGTGCGGGATGCGGATTAGATGTAGAAGTATGGGACAAGAACAAACGACGAATAATATGAGCAACGAATCTAAACTGGAAAAAAACACAGCAGAAGACGACAATCTACGAACAAATTGACATCAAACTGATAACCAACAAATAGACAAACAAAACTAATTCAAACAAATTGATACCCATCATGAGCAGATGAAATCTCGAAGGATCAAGCCTGCTCTGATACCAAGTTGAATATCAGAGTACTCAACGAACAAGATTACAAAATAATAAGAATATTATTAAACAAACGAGAATGCCAAAACGGCTACAAAACCTTAAGAGGCTACATTGTTACTAGCTTATTATTCATGCTAAACTACAAGCTATATTTATAGAGAGCAAAACCTAAGAAACCCTAACTCGGATAGGGTAGACCCAATTCCTAAACTAACCCCAAATACTAAAATAAACCTAAATATTAATATTTTCCAACATCAAGTTCAATTGAGTTGTACTTCTCGTATGCCAATATTTTTGTGAATGTCTATGTGAATTTGTACATTTAACGTTTAAGATTAGGTTGTCTCCTTTTTTTTATTTGTAAAAGGAGCTAACACTTAAATATTTCATGCACAACGTATAAAACAAAATATTATGGATATCTACATTGAAGATAGTGTTCCATTTTCATTGGTAAGAACGGTTTCCATTATTCTTTTATGTTTTTGTGTTGATTCATTAATCCTCTTGTGTTTCTTGGTTCATATGACATTCAAAAAATTTGTTTATTGAATTTGAGCGCATGACTGAAACCACACATTTGATCCATTTAGTTATATATATATTTTTTAATACAAGTGATATTTTGCTTTTAATTAAGGGATTTTTTATTAGCACCCCATATTTTGTTGATTATACATTAAATTGCTCATAAAATGACTATTTAAGCCCTAAAATGTTCTAAAAATTAAAAAGAAGATTCTACATGAACCCCAAGTTCTTTCTTTAAGTCATGCCTAAAATTTACTTCTACGCTCTCACATAAGCAATATGACTATTTTTCCATAAAAGAATGAACAGGTTTTCCATAAAAGTTTGAAAACTCAATGTGAAACTCCATCACTTCAATATTATATACATACAATTGCAAGACTTAAACCCTTTTGCCCTCGAGTTAGTTTGGATGAGGCTTGTGTCATTTCGTCTTTGCTTTAATGAAAATCCATTTCAACTAAAAGAAAAATTGAAGAATAGGTTACTGATATGAGAATTGAAAATAAAACTGGAGGAAACAAGTTTGTGAAGACGAATACGCGGGTTTGATGTGGGGTGTATGTGAGGAGTTTAGGGTGTGAGGGTAGCTTGGGAAAGAATGCGGGGTGTATTAAGATATTTTTTAATTTAAAATGTAGATGTGGGGTGTTTTTAGTACATGAGGTGTAATCAACAAAATATGGGGTGCCAATAAAACAAGTTACACTTTACCACCGCAGGTTTGGGGTCCATTTCAACATCATACAACATCTTCAAAACATTTCACTTTCATACTTCAAGCACTATTTTATTTCAATATAATACATCCGTTACATTTTCCATCCATTGATCGGTTAAGAGCTGACGTGGCTGCCACATGGTAAAAAAAAAAAATTTATACATTAAAAATATTATAATAATTTACCCTATAAAAAAAAAAAATAATAATCTGAAAACCCAGAAACCCATTCCCTTGACCCTGACCACCTCCCTCTCCTCCACTCTCTTCACCTCCCCTCCCATCCAAAAACCCACCCCATCCCACCATATTTATGAACTAACAGGAAAATGATTTCAGAGTTGAATAAAAAGCTCAACTTCGTTTTGAGCTTCTCTTACCAATGTCACAAATAAAACGGGTAAAATAAACCTTAGAACCCTAATCAAATCAATTCCAAACTCTTATATGAAAATTTGAGGGATTGCAAACACCAATTCAATCACCAATCAAGACCAAAATGCATAAACTTCAACAAATCCAATTACAGAGAGAGAGAGAGTTGAACCTTGCATTGGCGAGCATTGTTATGATTAAGCCACTATAGGAGGCAATCCTGGTGTACAAACTTGATGCTTCCGCTACAAGCGCACAGGTACCGCAGCGGGTTATCAGCGTCGCCCATGTTTTTACAAATCTGGCACATGTCCTCCTCCTCTTCCTCATCGTTGTACTTGACCGTCGCTGCGGTGGCGTTCGCTTCGTTCTCTTGAGATGACGACGTCTTGACAGTGTCAGTTGGGACATCCCGTCAGCGGATGATGGTGGGGCCAGGGCGATCTCTATGGGCTGGGTCAGATCAGGTCAAGGGTGGGTCGGAGTCTGTGTTGGGTATTGCCAATCTATCCTCGGTGGGGGCGTTTCAAAAGATGATGAAAGATGGGTGGGTTTTTAGGTTGTGGGGGAGGTGGGGGTGGGGTGGGGTGGGTTTTTGGATGGAAGCAGAGGTGAAGAGAGTGGAGGAGAGGGAGGTGATCGGGGGAATGGGTTTCTGGGTTTTAAGTTTTATTTTTATTTTATTTTTAATAGGGTAAATTATTATAATATTTAATGTATAAAAAATTATTTTTTTGACGGCATAAATTTGGTAGCCACGTGGCACAAATATGATAGTCATGCCAACTCTTAACGGATCAATAGATGGAAAATGTAATGGATGTATTATATTGAAATAAAATAGTACTTGAGGTATGAAAGTGAAATGTTTTAAAGATATTGTATGAGATTGTAATAAACCTCAAACCTGAGATGGTAAAGTGTAATTTACCCTTTAATTAAACTAACTGCAATTTTAACTCAAATGTATATAATACAAACACATGCGCTCTAATAAATGCGATGACGCGCACCCTTAAGTTAAAAGATTCAAGTTTGGATATGGATTTCAGTTAAACAAAATTTGATTGAACCTAATTGCAACGTGTAACTCTATATTCCACACGAGAAAGAAATCATATAAGTTAAGGATTTGCCAACACCACATATGTGAGGGCAGCAGTAAACTACAAAATAGAGGAAGCACTTTGGAGTTGTCAAAGTCCACAACCACTCCATAAAGGAAGGCCCCAACAACATTGGACGCACTTGGAGTTGGCCCCCAAACCCAAAGTAAGAGGACAAAATGTGTGTCAAACAAGCCTTTTTTGGCTGGGGACCCTGCAGCTGCAGGTGCACTGCAGACACTTTGTTTTGTGGTGCTCTCCATAAAATTAGATAAGTGGCAACTCGTGGCACAACCTATGAGCATTGAGCACACACAAGCATTATCCATCTCTAATCTTCTGATTCTTTGTCTTGTGACAAAGTTGACCACTAATATCACATTACCAAAGTTTTTGGGGACCCTGTTGTTATTTTGCCGCACGTGGCCTCTTGGCGGCAAAAGAAAAAGACCTCTAGGGTTTTGCTGTGCTCTGCTGCTTCACTTGTTCCCAACCATTATTTACTGATGTAGGTCTTGGTTGGCATTTCGTATAGAAAAACTCTTGGTTGGGATAAGGATTCAAAAGTAAAATGTTACGGCGGATCCAAGACACTTTCATGTTAGAAAAGATGTTCAAACACCATTTTCTCCATTTCTGCCAAACAATCTTAATAACTCACGCAACTCAACCTTTCTTTTTGAATTACTTAACCCTTTTAAGATTTTTGTAAAACAGCTTACCCTCGTGACATGTGCAATTAAAGTGAGCTTTCATGAAATTTCTGGAACATCATAGGTAGCAAAAAGGGGTAGTAACAACGGCTATTGTCAATTAATAGCTTTTTACTCGCCCTAATGTAGATCCACCACTAATTGTTATTGTGATTGTTTATAACAAACCGTGCTACCAAACAAAGAAAATAGCAGTACAGAAATACTGAAGATTGTCTTTAAATTCTTAACTTTAGAGAACTAAACAAGTTGTCCCGATGAAACCTTTTGACATTAACACTAAACTTTCGATATTATAAACATAAATACATCTGAATGATTTTGTTTTTATCTTGAAAGGAAATGGAAGCATTGAAAACCCTCGTGTTTTTCTCCAACTTTATCGTCACTTCCTCTAAGTTTTGGGGTGAGCAACTTATGTCAACTATCTCCATCAGACCACCATGAAATGAAAGCATTCGCCAAGAAAAAGCAGCAGTTCCGCAAGTTTCAAACAGTCAAAACTCTGGGAATTTCAATTTTCCAAATCAGAGAGACTTGTTTGCCAGATCAAATTGGACGAAATCGAATTGGGAGAACTAGTCTTGAGTACTTGGACGAAATCGAAAATTAAACGGAGTCTGCCTAATACTTCAATTAAATTAGACCTGCACACATGTATTTCCTGTTCCTCGATTAATTAGGCCTGCTTTTCTCTTCCTCTTAACTTCCTCCAAATTGTGGGGTGAGCAAAATATGACCACTTTCTTCAGTTTTTGAGCAGAGACTCGATTAATTTGGCCCGTTTGAGAGCTCTAGCTAGGGTAAAGTTATTCAGCTCTTAAAATAAAAACGCGATCAAATAATGGTATTTCCAATTTGGCATAGTGTCCAATGTCCTCTATCGATCAAATAATGATATTTGCATATTGACATAGATTTGCTAGACTCGCAGCCAGTCATCTCGAGTTTCGTTGAGTAGTGAAACCAAAGAACTAAATCAGTGCCCAGGTGGGAAGTTAATGAACGCAATAACGCTTGTGAGAAATGAAACACCATCCATGCTATACCACGTATAGAGATCTAAACAAGACTGACAAGTTGTCCAGCAGGATCTGTCAACATTCACGTTAAGGTTTTGATATACCCTTAACTTCTGAAATATACCAAAACATAGCGCTAATGAATTCGTTCGCATTTTTTCTTGAAAGAAAATGGAAGCATGGGAAAATACTCTTGCTTTTGTCTAATATCATCTTAAGGTTCGCCAAGTTTTGATGTGAGCAAATAATGACAGTTCCTCAGTTGCTAATTGAATTCCCCTGAAGTTGTTTGGAAGTTCCACTAGGGTAAATGTCTTCAGCTTCTTAACAAAAGCAAAATTTTGCGGGTTCCAGTATTCTATATCGAATCCCGATATCTGGAAAGGCAGAAAAGAAACAAAGTAATCGAAGTCTCCAAGATGAAAAAGATTAAAAAGCACTATATTCTCCTAAATCTAGACATGATAATAAAAAGAGAAGTCAAGAAAAGGAAGACAAGTAAATAGCAACATAAACTTCAACTTACATAAAAAGTAAAATTCAGGGTAAATAGATATGCTTATAGCAAATTTTGAGGGTTCCATTCCTCTTAAAAGAGAAAACATTGCCCGTACTATCACAATAGTGATCACAATATCCATACACAAATTACGAATAAGATCTAAGACCATCTCAAACTGAATGGTCCAGAGTGTCAAAAATAGCCTGAAAATTGTCTCCAACCGAGGGCTAGGCTAAAGGGCTCGTGAGCCCCACAGGATAAAAAAGGGCTAAAGGGCCAACTGGCTGGCCCAATCCAGCCAGCCCCGGGCCGGGTTGGATTTTTCATTATTAATACATTTTCTGTTGGATATATCTGACAATATTGTCCTTTTTTTTGGCCAATTTTTTTTTTTTTTAATTTCCCTTTTTTTCGTATAAATATATCTGACAATATTGACACCATTTTTCACATAATTTTCACTCTTTTTAAATTTAAGTTGCTGTAGTTTTTAAATTTAAATAATAAATTATGTTTAGCCCTATGACCATTTAACCCTCGGTTGGAGACGATTTTTGTTACATGGCTAAAACGAGTCATATGACCCTTTGGCCCTCGGTTGGAGATGGAGACAAATATAGCGATGTACTGTTCATTAAAATATTAATATCTTGGAGGACTAGAGGGCTAAAACAAGTCATTTGACCCTTGTTCGGTTGGAGATGGCGTAATGGGACTGGCATGGATCCTTCCTTGTCGATGACCCACAATTGTAAAGAAAAACCGGTTCAAATCGCAAAAGAAAATATGTTTGCGGATTGCAAAAAGAAAGAGGGTATAAGGTTATGATTTTCTACCTCAATGGCAACTTCGTTCAGAATAAGACTTTTAACCACGCACAAAGTGCCGAAAAACTTACAAACACTGTTAAAATCAAAATGTTCTAAAGGATTTAAATGAATCTCGGCTTTTTCTAAACATTCAAACTTTCCAAGATTTGGGTTATTCATCAAATTCCCAATCCACACCGAAGAATTTGATGGAATATAAGGACACATGGCAGTAGGGATAGTGATGACTGCCATGTCAGCAAAGTTAGAATCTGGTGGGATTTGTTGGAAGATTTGGATAAGATTTTTGGCTAAGATAGCTATGAGGGGTTACTTAGTCATTATGTATGAAGACCTTTTATATAGCAACCGACTGTAATAACTTTCATTTGCTTTCCTAATACAAATTCGTATTTCTTAGTAGCTCTTATCTTTCTCTTTACATTTCTTGGTTTTTCTGGGTTCTTCAATCTTTCACTTTCACAAGAGATTTAATTTTTGCAAATTATCATAGATCACTCATAATGGTTAATAGAATTCAGATTTGGAGCAAAAATATTCAACACTTCGATGATGCTATTTTGGACAAAATTTCCAAGTGATGTATAGATTTTCAAGTTTGTCACCAGAAATTTTTAAGCGTGTCAAGCAGATGATCAGGCTTAGTTCTCAGTAAGCCAAAATCCTTCCAGAGACAAGCTTTCGATGGTGAGGTTTTTATCCCATGAAGTTGTTCGAGAACGTAATTCCTGAATGCATTTGCAGGAACAGGAGATCCATTTGATGAACCACTCATCTTCTATAGTAATACCAATCAAGCTCAAGCATTTGAGATTTGAGCAAAAAGAAAGGCGATATAAAAAGTTCAGAGGTAATTTCAAATTCATCATAACATTTTAAAGCATTCTAAATAACTACCTAACGTTTTGAAAATTAAATATATGTTAGGTTTACTAGTATTAAGTGATGAAATGAACAAAGCGAGTTATAACCCTTAAGTCATTTATGGAGCTTTGAATCTTTAAATTGACCCATTTAGCCGATCAAATTTACGATTTAGCTTGGCTTAAATGGATTAATTTGGAGAGCTGGAGCTCCAAACACGACGATCAATGAAACCAACCTTAGTATTTGTCCACATTATCATTTAATGCTACTACTGTTATCATTTAATGTTGGTAAAGTCCACTTAACAATTAATTTTAAGTCTTGACCTAATAACCACATCTCTCTCCATATGGAAAATGAAATTCTTTAGATTTCTCAAAGAAAAATTCAAACTACCCAAACTTGGTGGTGCAAATTGTAATTAACTCAAGGGCTAGTTTGGAAGTGCTTTTAAAATGACTAAAAGCGGTTTTAGTGAAAATGTTTCTGGAACAAATCCTTAGTAAAAACGCAAATGAATCCTAGAAAATTACTTGAAATGCTTCCTGAAAAAAGCCGTAGTTAGAAGCACTTCAAGTGCTTTTGGAACACAAAAACATCTTCTCTAAAAGTGCTTTCAGTAATTTTAAAAGCACTCCCAAATGAAATAAGCTAACATCAAAGCAAATGCCCTTCCATTGCCTACCATAAATAAATTACCAAGAGGAGTAGCGTGGTATCACATAATCATCAAAATTTGTATGATTAAGTTGAACCAATACAGCCCTCTAAATACCATGTAACTTTCATGTGAAATGAATTCCAATAAATTAAATTCCCGAAACTCAGCCGCTATATATATTTGAACATGTGTATTTGCCTACCTTACAAATAATCTCATCGAGATTTATAAGAGAAGAATTATTTTGAATTTGTCAGCATGTTACCTTACAATATCCGGTCAAAGTTGGGTAATTTTAAAGTTACAGTTCATGGTGTTACAGTAAGCGTAAGTGTAGTCGAGGAGTCTTGTTTCCTTCCTACGAAATTATCACATTTCAGGTCACTTTTAAGCACTTGTTTAAAGGATAGGCTTGTTGTCGGAGTTGATATTAAGAGTAAATCTGGCAATGCCAAAGCATTGATTCTTTGTTATCGCAGTTGTTGTCTGGTGATCCGAGATCTTGGGCACTTGAATCTTCAGGATCTTTTTGGTAGCTTGACATGTACTGGAAGTAAAGAGCTCAAGGGGCTTCTTGCTAATTCAGCAGTCTGTTTTATGGGTATGGGAATGAAATCAAAACTCAGTCACCTAGAAGGGAATAGATCAAATGGCGAGATTTGCAGGACAGGTGCAGAGTTGAGCTATTTGGCTGCTAGGATTTTGAACAAACCCAATGTGCAAAATTATGGATCAGCTGTTGGGCATGCTTGCTTGAAATTCAGCACTGGATTTAGGGTTACCTACCATACATGATGATAGTATGTATGGGATTTTATGTTTCTATGCTTTTGGTTTGGTAATGACATTGTACTAGTTAAATTACGCAGTTACTTTATTTTACGTCGTGGTCCATCTTAATTCCTTCTTATTTTGAAGTTTGAAAAACGTGTTTACAAGATTTTGTACTGTTTCTCAAACTTGTTTCTTCCTGCATTTGTTTTCGTTCTTTTTGGCGACCATGCATGACCATAAACACCATTAACCTTGGATAAACATTGGCTAATTCTCATTGGGAGCATCTCCAATGTGGATAATGCAGAAAATCACTTTAACATTCCCATTTACATTTTAGGAAATGTAAGGGCATCTCCGATGAGATGTAAATTCTTGTCATTGCTTCGCTTCAAGCCCATCCCTTCAAAGATATTGGGCTTTCCTTGTGCCATCTCCACCTCACATGGAATAGCCATATTAGAGATTTCAGGATTCGGGGATGGGTCTCCATAGATCCCCTGCACTATTGGGTTACTAGGTTGGCCACCAGATGGAGATGACTCACCAAATTTGGGCCTCAACTGCAGCGGGCCCCTCCCCCACATTTTTCCACCAGGTCTTGAATGCTTACACCCCCGTGGGCTTGAGTATAACGATAGCAGTATAATACATGAACATACTTTTCAAGAACCTACTTAGGGGTAGTTTGAGAGTGAGGTACTTAAAAAAAAAGCACACATAAAAAAAAATGTGAGGGTTTTAGGTGTTTGGTAAACTGAAAAAAAAAAGACTTATTTTGGAAGCTGCTGTGAGAATAAGCTGAAATCATTGAAAAACGCTAAAGCTGTTATTTGCAGCTTTGGGAAACTGGCTTTTTTTCAAAGCACAACCCACTATCAGATTGCTTTTTTTTTTTCCAAAAGAACTTTTACAAAAAAGCAGTCAAAAAGACACAGAGCTACAGTACTTCTTTAATGCTTACACCCCCATGGGCTTGAGTATAACGATAGTAGTATAATACATGAGCATACTTTTGAAGAACATACTTAGTCAATATAACGTTAGCAGTCAAAAAGACAATTAACGTTCCACATGCATTGGGAAGTATCCTCGAATAATAATTAGTTAGCCCAACAGACTCGTCTAAATACCATGTTACAAACATGTAATTGAATCCCTACTTAAATTTAGCAAATTGGTCCAGTTAATATACATCTGCCTATATTTAGCCGGTGTAAATATGAGAACTTTCAGTCTTTCCATGCTCATCCCATCATAGCCTATATATAACGGGGTTATTAGTAAGAAGGAAATATAAACAAACCGATTGATCAGTTCTCTCTCTTTCATCATGTTGCCTGTCCCGCTCCTCTCAAAATTGGGTAACTATGAAGTTGAAGTTCATGGCGTTAAAGTGAAAGTGAGTGTGGTTGAAGATGGTCGGTTGATTCGTGAAAAAATATCAGAACTGCGGGGTTTCTTGAAATCCCAAGTTCCTGTTATGGGACTTGACTTTAAGCCAGGATCTTCGTATGCCCAAATGGTGCTTGTTTGTGCCGGATGTCGTTGCTTGATCGTCCCAGGGCTAAAGGAAGCACAAAAGTATATTCCTGGGCTTGGTTATGTAGGTGAACGTAGCGTACAAGAACTTGAGCAGCTTCTCGCTGATGACACTATAGGTTTTGTGGGCATGCGACTGAAATTAAAACTCTCCCAGACCCTTCATTATAGTAAGTTTAAGATAGGTGCAGACCTGGGTGATTTGGCAGCCAAGGTACTGAAGAAACCCAATCTCGCAACATGGGGATTAGCGGAGTTGGCAAGTGAAGTTGGTTTTGATATCAAGCCAGTTGTAGGCACATCCTTAGATGGAAGATGTGTTGTTCCTGCTTGGAATGCCACAGGTTTCTCTGATGAACAGATCAAGTATGCAATTCATGATGTTTATGCTTCCTACCTTATTGGCAAGAAGCTTTTGGACATGCCTTAAATCCGTTCGTTTTTGGAGCTTTTGGGCATGATATTAAGTATTTATGTTTCTTTGTATTTGGTTTCGTCAATGATTTTGAAGGCTTTCATTTGTGAGGGCCTCTTTCTTTTCCAACAAAACTACAATGATATAAAATATTCTCTTTTCTCTTCTTCACTTTTTCATCCGACGTTTCAACGTTTTACATCTAATTTTTCATGTAAATTTATAGCAAGTTCTAGACAAATAACTAAAGGTCACGTTAAAATGAAAAATCATGTGCGCAATTCCAAAAAAAATTGACAGATCAGCAACAAATTGGTGCGTATTGTGCCATAATTTGCCCGGCAAAATTAGAGCTCGTTGACTCAAGGAACTTTGCCCGACGGCAGATTTCGACGGGCCCAAGTGTGTAAACCGTTGGGCTTTGGTCCACAATGACCTGTAAAAAAAATGACTAGGATTCTCTCTCCTCCTATTTTTATTATCTTCTCTTCCCTCCTCTCACACTCTTCATATTGTCTCTCTGTCTCTATCTGTAAAAAAAAATTAATATAAGATGTTGACATAGCTTAACCTTGACCATTCAAATAGGAAAGAGAGGGAAAAAAAAAGAGGGAAGAGAATCCTACTCCGAAAAGAAAAACCACCGACACAACTTTTGCTTTCTTATATGTGCCTAACGAACTGGTCCATCGGGCAAAATGGGATGGCCAAATGGGATAACATCGTTACCGGAGGCATAATGGGATGGTCAAGCATATATCAACTAGTTATGATGACTAAATTATATGAAGACAGACACAATGTACAAAGAGTGGAATCAAGTTGCACAATAGAAGTTGTGACCAACATTTGAAAAAACAACAAAAATGTTGCTAAAGATTTAGAGAACATTCAACGTTCCACTATTAATAAACATTAATATTGTCCCCAACTTAATCACATGTGAAAACCAATATGTACGAGGTTATAAGATCGATTTAATTCATCAATTTTCCAATGTGAAACTTTGCAATTTACGAACAAATGTCCTGTCAAATAAGCAAAAGTTAATGAGTTAACAAACTGGAGTAACGTGCGATAATACATAACAAAAGTCGAGGAAATTTTCTGAATCTCCCCCACCTGGGATCATGAAGGTCAATGTGGATGCTAGTGGGACGAGGGTGGATGGTTTCTGCCATATTGGGGTGGTGATTCGGGATTCTGAATCCAGGTGCTTTGCAGTTAGGAGGAGGAGGATCAGAGCTGTGAATGCCCAAATGGCGGAAGCGTGGAGCGTGCTGGAGGGATGTTGCTTGGCGAGGCAGCGGGGGTTCTCCCGCATTGTGATTGAGTCGGACTCAAAAGGGATCATTGATTGGCTGAACGGGTGTATTGAGCAGGGGGCGTGGGAGCTATTCCCTGTTCTTTGTAAGATACGGTGCGAAGTTGAAGCTTTTGATTCATGTGACTGGTCTTGGGTGTCAAGATCAACCCAATGAAGCGACGAATTATGTGGCGTCGCATACTAGGAAGGAGATGTGAGATTTCGTCTGGGTTCATAGACCCCCATCTTTGTTTGTTCGTATCCTGAACAAAGATGGTCTTCCTTGCCCTCCATCCAGTTTGTAGTTAAGTTTGTTGTTGTAAGGGTGACATGTTGATTCGTGTCGTGTTCTTACCCTTTATGTTCTGCTTTCTTCTGATGTCGTTAGCCCGTGTGTCTTTTTGTTCCTCCTTTTGACTTCGGTCCTGGTTAATGATATTCTCTAGTTCTCAAAAAAAAAAAAAAAAAAAAAAGTTGAGGAAAATTTATTTTGTAAAAGCAGGTGTAAAATGATACTTAGGTATATTGTTTGGGGCATTCTGATAAATAAGTCTGAAAAAAAAACCAAAACAACAAAAACCCTTTTCCAAACAAAAGAGAATCTCTCTTACCGGGAAAAATAGAAAACCCAAAACAGATGCAATCACCTCTCTCTCTCTCTGTCGATATCCTTCCTCCCCATCTCCGTCTTGGACGCGACCAAGTTAATTCAGTCACCGAGCTGATTTAATTAATTAATTACCAATTGGAAAATAACCTATATGCCACGGAGGAGCTGGAGGTGGAGGTGGTGAAGACGGAGGAAAGGCAATCGTACTCGGTGTGGGCAATCCCACCGGACGACGTATCCTGCAGGATCAAAAAGCTAATGGGGGGCCTCCGAGCTGAGTTTGGCAGTCCCCAGATCGATCCCCACATCCCCCTTGCGGGTTCGCTCCGGCTGATGCGCGAGGCCGCGCTCGCCAATCGATCTGACCTATGTTTGCGTGCGTTTGTTGCTAAAGTCGATTCCGTGGTTACTAGGGTTTCCTATTACCATCCTGTTGCCCTCGTTTTTCATCTGCCCGAAGAGGTAAATATACACTATTTTCCAGATTTATTTTTATTTTTTATTTACATTATTTGTAGTAGTGGACCTAGTGGTAATTATATGAATCAAATTTATTTACAGCATGTGTGAAAATTTATTTTCTCAGGTCGAGATGGAAACTGGTGTGGACTTCAATCTGTGGAATCGTAAGTTGCAGGCATAGTAGGAGAGCTCGTTAGTTATTAATGTTTTTATTTTGTATTTTAATCTATCTGTTTTTATGTGGATTGAGAGATAAATTACTGATTCATTTGCATGCTTGTGCAAGGGAAATAATTTGTCCTGCGATTTTACTGAAATTGTTTTGCAGCTCCATTGCCACAGATGAGTATCCTCTATGGGCATCTGACAGAAGAAGAGAGGAAAAAAGCACAAGAAAAGGTTTATATTTTGGATGAGATCATTACTAGCTTGAGCTTCCCAGTAACCCACATTGCATTGAACCAAACTAATTACAAAGATAAAACTCTCAGATCTTGGGAGAAGATTGCTGAATACCGCCTCCATTTCAATAATTAGATGTATGGATTATATGCTTAAGTTGTGGCTTGTATTTATATGACTATACCAGCAGACTTAATTGTATAACTTGCACACCCTCCCTTGTGGCCTTATGCCTTTATTTATACTAGTGAAGTAGGTTTTTCTTGCCTTACATGTAATACAACAAGTCATAAAGGGATTAGGTCTCCCAAATTCTATTGGAATCCTACTTCTAGATTTACAAAATTACACTCCTAAATAATAATAACACTCCCCCTGAGTGTGTAAAACTTGATAAGTAGTTGCATCAGGTATTCTCGGATGATTGCTGAAGTCTTCAATCAACATAGACAATACACATGCGAATCTAGATTAAGGTTGCATTAAGGAAATATAAACTAACAAAAACCTAACAATGATAAAACCTAAAGCAGGACAAAACCCAAAGTATAAGAGAAAAAGGTGAGAAGTGCAAAGTCGAAGCTTAAAGAAACAAGCGGCAATGAATGCTCACAACGAGGTATGACCAGTCCAAGATAGGTGCCTCATTAAAACCTCGTCAAGTTAGCAAAACTCAATGGGACAAATGCTCCTGAACTAAGGTAAAAAGAAAACATTAAGGTCAACTCGGTATCCTCCATATATTCCCCCTCAATTCGACAAAACTCCATAATTAGACTTTTGTCGGTGTAAATCGGACAATACACATTCCAATTCCGCAGACAAGCTTCTGAAAATTGAATTTCAGCAATGACTTAGGTGAAGAGGTCGACGAGATTGTCTGGATCTTGTAATGCTCTTGTTGCTGATGTGAAAAAGAAGAATTTCGATGTAATACACTTGGTATGGTCTCCTGTGATGGATCCGTTTTAAATTCAGTAATACATGCAGGATTATTCTCAAATATCGTTGTTAGGACATCAATGATAGATGACAATCCACAAGTGCTTCGCATATGCTTGGCAACGGCTCTCAGCTATGTAGACTCACAAGCTGTCTCTTAGGATGAGAGTATTCAACATGGTTCGAAGATGTAACAACTAAGTTTACTTGGTAAACCTTCAAGAAATTGTAGTCTCACCAATGGTAATGACATAAACCACCTAGGATCGTTTCATGTGTGTCTCGGATAAATATCTAGCGTCAACATAACCAACAAGGCAAGAATCAACGTTGGGATCAAGGAGGCGGCAACAACACTCGTAGTTGAGTAAGGTACCCTATTAAGATATCATAGAATGTCCTTAACACCTTTCAGTGTATGCATGTAGGCGCATGACTTTGTCTCGCTATGAGCTTCACATAGAAGAATATGTCTAGCCTTGTACACTGACACAAGTACAACAAAGCGCCAATTGAACTTAAATATGGAACTTTAGGCTTCAAAACCTCTTCATCTTCCATCTTTGGACAATGTGGGTCTCGTTAAGCACCAAGCGTACGGACGACCATGGGAGTACTCAAAGATAACGTATTATCCTCGTTAAAGCGGCGTAGCACTTTCTTGGTGTAGTTCGATTAGTGGACCAATATATCATTAAAACAATGCTCGATCTCAAGACTAAGACAACAACGTGATTTCAGAAGATTCTTCATCTCAAATTCCGGCTTAAGGTGCGTGATAATTTTCGTTCCTCAAAGTCCCACTGAGATTCATGTCATCAACATAGATTGCAACAATTGCAGATCCAGAACTAAACTTCTTAATAAAAACGCATGGGCATAGTTCATTATTCACATATCTCTGACTAGTCAAATACTCGCATAAATAGTTATACTAAATTTGTCCGGTTTGTTTCAACCCATATGAATATGCAGTTACCACATCCATAAGCTACATTTCAAGTCTTTCAGAAACTACTAGACTTACAAGTTAATGGAACGTTATCACATTCATAATGAGTGAATGCGTATCCTCATAGTCAATCACAGGGCGTTGAGAGAAACCCGGTGTCACAAGGCATATGCTTATATCTCACTGTTTCATTCTTCTCATTACACTTCCTTACTAAAACTCACTTGTAACTAACTGGTTTCACATTGAATGGAAGAGGAAGAAGATGGGTTCTGAAGAGCTGTTGGGTAGACAGGAGGTGGCAATGAGGAGATAGGAGATGGGATGAACAACGGGTAGTGTGAAGCGCGGCTTCTAGTTTCCCCTTGAATTAATCTTATTTCAGGTTTTTTATTCTTAATTTAAGCCATTTGCTTGAGAACAGAGAATTTGAGTCAAACTGAGCAGAATGAGCACCATATGAGCAAATATCAAGCTTGGATATATGTGATCTTAGAGATATGAGGGGATAGGGTTTGACTTCCATATGCTTTGGGTGATCCCCACAAATTCCATGTGGGTTATGTTGTTGGAAGAAATTATAAGGGTCCAGAGTGACTTTGTGAAATCTGGAACACATGACGGAACCGACATGGCATTACTTATCGGAGTGGGAGGTTTAACTACAGCCGGGATCTAATAGTTTTCATCTCCAACACAACTACCATTCTCCGCGAATCTGAAGATCTTTCTGGCTACCAAAATTAAATTATGCTCTGAATTTTTCAAGCCCATGTACCATTTTGACTGCAGAGAAAAGTGAGCTAAGGTCCTATGAGGGAAGCTTGTCGAGCTCGTCTATGGCGGCTTTGGCATAGAGGAGGAGGAGGAGGACGGGGAGAAAAGGTCCTATCGTGGAATATCATCGTCTTTTCTTAGTATTGACATTTATATAATTAAATTGTTGTAAAATCAACGATATGCAGTGAAACATAAAGTAAATGAAACACAATATTTACGAGGTTCGACAAGTGTGCCTACGTCCTCGGGACAGTAGTAGTACTTTCTTTCATTACGTGAAATAATAGTAGTACAAAAATAATTCTCACTATTCTCTCTTCTCTCTAACCCAGCTTACTGGCTCTTCTTCATCTCGTCTCTCTTCTTTTCTTTTTCTCTTCTTTCCTTCCTCCGCATGCTCTCATTTTATAGGTAAAAGATTACTGTAGCAACACTATTTACTTTACAAACTTTCTTCATACGAATAATAACTCATCTGACTTTTCTTTGGATGAATAGTAAATAACTATTCATGTGGGTCATCCACATATTATATGACAACACTCCCCCTTGGATGGCTATATGTCAATTTCGGTTGCCTCGTTAAAACCTTGATCTGTTTTGGATGCTCCCCCTGATGAGTATCTCCCCCTGATTTCGAATTCTTCAATTTGGCTAATTACTAAGTTGATGTAATGTAATACCATACATGATAGTTGGAGTGTTTTCTTTTGAAGGTGGTTTACAAGCGCTCCAAATTTTAATGGGCCGCAAGTATTAGCCAATACATTCATGACTAGCTTCATGAAGATATATATTTATGAGAGATATGAAGACGCAACAATGAATCCTTGCTTCCTTGATTGTTTCAGAGTCGATCTATTTCCATATGTAAATACAAATCATTTCTGAGAGCGATTTGTATGCAGGCTAGAGAGGTATTCAAAATTTGCTTGCCCAATAAGACCATGGCTATTAGTGAGTTATTTGGAATAGAACAAGCACATGTCTATAATTTCCTGGAGATATCAATAAATAAACTTTATTTCATTGCAATACCCATTTGTTGGTATTATGTTCCACATGAAGTGTAACATCTTATTTGCTAAATACAGTAAGACACATACTTCATTAAGATATGGTACTCCTGGACCAAATATCAATTCATCATTTCCTTCACGAGGATGAATGATCTTTCTTAATGTCTAAATATTGGTTAATCATTTGAGTATTCAACTCATAATCTTCAATCCATATGGTTTTTTTTTAAATACCATAAACATTTTGGATAAGATTTGTGTTGGCATATTATTCGATCTGCACTTCGAGACAATATTCCTTTCAACGCTTTATAATCTTTCTAGACTCTTCAGGAATCCCATTCTAATATTATCAACTCTTGCAAGAGATTTAGTATGTTGCAACAACATCATAAAAATAGTACTCACTAAGACAATTTATACCATCTATTGATATTGAATACATAATTTATGCTTTACCTTTCTAGGGCTTTCTTCAAGCAGTCTGAATCATTTAGGGATTTTCTGCACTTCATAACACATTCTCTTTTGAAATTTATACAGAGCCATTTGCTTTCATATATACTTGAGGGATTTACTTATGAAGATATGCTTCAGGCATTTTATAAAGCTTCATGTAATATATAATTTTCCATTTAAATAAACAAGTTTCACAATGGGAAATCATGTTTATAGGAGTATATCACAATTTTAGGTTTCAACTAGGAACCTTGTGTCATATCATGTTGAGTGTAGTTCAATGTATTACAAATGCCCATATGTAACCTTCTGGGTTCCACGTCATTTGGCGATTTGTACAATAGGTCCATTTTTTCACGTTCTTAATAAATTGTTATGGAATTGCCTTCCTCCATTTTGGCCAATAGTTTTGCTTTTTGTTGACGAACAAAAGAACGTAGCTCAATATCAACACAGCTCTTTGATGAACTTAGTAGCTACTGTAAAACCAAAATTAACATTGGTAATCATCAATTTGTGATCTCATAATTCTCATGTGCATGCGCATGTATATTTATAAGCATTTCATTACTTTGGATATCCTTGCCTCTTCAAGCACATTTATAAGCATTTCATTACTTTGGATATCCTTGCCTCTTCAGGCACTTTACATTGTCTCTTCTAGGACAATCATCACTTATTAGATGAATTGTTTGAGAATTTGGATTATAACCTCCTCTAGAGCATTATAGAGCTTGGATTTTTAATCTCCACTTTTGGGGAGTTGAATCATTGGAACTTACACTTCAATCATGCTTTAGGCATGAGATATATTAAAATTGTCATGTCCATGGATTAACCTTTTGGAACTTCAATCCATGCGGCAACTGTTATGCTTCGGGCATGCAACAGTTCAGTAATGCCAAGTCTATGGATAGTCTGACTGAGACTTCAATTCGTGTGGCATCTTTGTAATTTATAATCAATTAGTAATTTTCATTACCTTTTTGTACATCACATGTATTATATAAACTAGTAGTGTTTGTTGGGGGTGTGAGTAAGATTCCCATCATTGAACTTTGGTCTTCCATTCAATCAGTCAACTAACAATTTTCTCCCTTTGGACTTCTAAGGGCTCATCGTTAATCCCTCTGCTTCAGTCTCTTGCACAACAGAAGTGGTGCACAACATTTGCCTTTAAATGG